GTATTCATTATCTTTGAGCTTGATCACCTCTTCTTCCAAGGCCTGTTGTCGGTCCAGGCCGAGCTTCCTTCTTTTTTGCACGACCGGCTTGACCGTGGGGTCGACCTGCAGCCGGTGGCAGGTGACCCGCGGGTCGATGCCGACCATGTCTTCATGGGTCCATGCGAAAACGTTTGTGTTTTCCCGGAGGAATTTGGTCAGCTCGGCTTTTAGCGGCCCCGACAACTTGCTTTCAATCCGGACTTGCTTCTGACAAGTCTCCTTGTCAATGAAGATGATTTCAACTTCGTCCATGGGTTCGGCACTCTTTGTCCCCCGCTTTTCTTCATACTGGGTTCGGGGGTCGAGCTCATCTTCTTCAGTGACCAGCTCTTTGTCGGTCCTTCTACCTCTGTCCAGGTCCAGGTCGGCCCCGGACTCTTCTTCGGCCCAGCCGGTGTTACCGCCAACAGAGGAGAGCGGACCTATCTGGTTTTTCAGCATGCGGTCGTCCCCCCGATTGGGATTATCCAGCCCGGTGACAGGGGTCAGGTTGTTCATCTCCGTCCCGAATCCTACGCTGACGGGGCCGGCACTCAACGCGATCAAGGGGTGCGAACCTATCTGGTTTCCCAGCATGCGGTTTCCCCCAGGACCGTCGTGTGCCGGCTCTGGAAAAACTTCCAGATCGGCATCTCTTGCCTCGGCGTTGGCGATGGGGTCCACCATATTTATCTTTGTACGCGGTATAGTCAGGACGCACTCCCGCGCCTCCCTCTAGTCCCCCTGGTGGGTCCCCTCTCCATCTGAGGTCGGGAACTTAATGGAGTAGTGGAATATGGAGACGGCGGCCTTCAGCTTGTATAGGGTTGTCCTGCCCAGGATGGCGTTATACTCGCTTGGGCAGTCCACGATTTTGAAAGTTTCCAGAATCGTTTTTGTGGGCTGCCCCTTCTCTCCAAACTGGATTGGCAGTGTGACTTGACCGACGGGGGCCGTTGTTTGCCCGTTGAAGCCCTGGATCCGCTCGCGACAGGGCTGCACCTCTCTCTTGTCGATCCCCATCTTTTTGAATGTATCATAGTAGAGAATGCTGTCAACCATGATGCGGTGGATCTTGATGGCCATTATCGGCGCCGTGATCACTAGGGTGTCGGAGTGGGGGTGGTCGAACAGAAAGGCATCCTCATCATCAAAGGAGATTTTGTTTGGGGTCTCCGGTGCCGGCCTACTGTTGGTGTTCATCACCCTCTGCCCGGCGTAATAGGCCTGCCGGGCATAGGCTTGGTCTGCCTCCTAGAAAGGGAGGACTCGTCTCGGCTTGTGTTGACGCGCCGAGTTGGGTAGTCAGTGTGGTCGTCCCCTGGTGGCAGGGACCGATTTCTCTTTCTGCCCCTTGAGGTGCCGGCCTCGCCTTAGGGGGCGGGACAGAAAGTCATGATCTCATTGGGGCCGCCCTGCTGTTGTTTCTTCCTCCGAGGGTTCACGTCGGCGTCGTCGTCACTGTCGAGGCTTCCTCAAAGCGGCCTCCCTTCTTTCTCTTTTCACCGAAGTGGGTGAACCTCTTCAACTGTGGGTCGTTTATCAGTTTGAGCAGTGCCGAGATCAAGTTTCGGCACTGGTCGGTGTTATGCCCGTGCGCCTTGTGATAGGTGCAGTAGCGGGACTTGTCCACCTTGTCTTTATCGGTGAACATCGGCTTTGGGTCCGGTAGTAGCCCCTTTTCCTTGATTTCCTCGTAGATCGCAGTCACGCCCACGGAGAAAACGCTCTGGTAACTCTCTTTTAGCTCTTCAGCCCTCTGCTTCCGCTGGGCACGGACCTCAGCGAACGATTTGCTCGACTTTCTGGACTTTTCTTCCTTTGCCTTACCCTTGGCCGGCGCGGTGTCGAACATCGGGATTAACGAGGACTCCTCCGCCATTATGTAATCTTGGGCTCAGGAGAGGAACTCCTCGTAAGTGGTTGGTTTATCCTGGCACAGGGACCACTTGAATAGCGTTTTTGGTCTCAGACCGCCCTGAGCGGTGATCAGCAGCGCATCAGGGTGGCACCGCTCCATGTTTTGGACTCGGTCGTTAAACCAAGCAATGTAGTCCTTCAAGGTCTCGTCCTCGCCCTGGACGATGTTGGCAATGGACTCCTTGGGGGCTAGGTTGATCTACGATCCGATGAAGTGTGATCGGAAAGCTGACCTGAGCTGCCCCCAGGTGGAAATGGAATGAGGGTAGAGAGAGTGATACCACCTCTATGCCTTTGGTCCTAGTGTCAGGGAGAACATGCGGCAGCACAGAGCATCCGTGGCGCCTTGCAGGTCCATCCACGAGGTGTAGAGGCCGAGGTGGGAATCTGGGTCCGAGCTCTCGTCGTAAGGGCTGAGCTGTGGAAGCTTGATTTTCTTTGGCGCAGGTTCCCGTAAAATGTCAGGAGAGAGGGGTGAAGCATGGTCCACGATCTGAGGGGTCGATTGTGGGTAGGGAGGAAGTGACAGCTCACTCTTAGAAGGGTGCCGACCCTCCAGCTCGGCAATCCTGCGCTTGAGGGCCGCGACTTCGTCAGTGTCGCGTCCCACAGCTTTTCCCCGTTCGATGACCTCCCTGAGGTCACGGTTGGCCTGGCTCTTGTCACCTAGGTGGTTGTAAGCGGAACGGCGAACGATTTGAAGGCTTTGCTCCGGATGGCTCTCGCCTGTCTGCTCGGTGGGTGCCGGTCTGGTGCTTTTGTCACGGCGGTTCTGGGCCTCGAGGTTGGGTGACTGAGCCGTGGTTTTGGATTTTGTCGGGTTTTTCTTTTGCCCTTCGGCCCCCTTTTCGTGGGTATGGAGCAGAGTGTTGCCGGGGTTTTCCGTGGGCACCGCAGTGTTTCCCCCGGCCGCCTGGTTCGCGAGCGCCTTCGAGAAGACCCGCTCGAGAGCTTTGAGGATGTTGGGGTGCTGCATGGCCGCAGCGAAAGTGGGAACTGGCGGGACAGGGACTAGAGGCCCCTGCTGAGCGCGGCGGGAAGTTTCTCCGTCGTTGCGCCGGCGAGACTGGGCGCCAGACTGCTGGGTGGACTCGTGACCTAATGAAGCCATTTCGAGTGGTTTTTGGGAGTGAAAAGCGGAAAAAAAAGGTGAGTGCAGTGTGATGTTCCACAAGTCCGAACAATTGACACCAAGTAACTTATGGTGCCCTCCTTCTAGAGCCAAAGTGTTGACGGGCGTTTCCGGTCAACGGTTAAAGAAACAAGTAACAGGAATAAAGGACAAGAAAATGACAAAGAGATACGATTTAACTACGATTTTATTATCAGATCACTGGATCGGCCTTTCGTACGAGGTCGGCACTTGTGATATCCTTATGAATTCTTACAAAGGTTTAGTACAAATTTAGAGAGAGAAAGTAGAGAGAGAGTTTGCTAGTTGAGGATTCAACAACCCAGAAATAAATGAGATGGGCTGCTATTTATAGTGGCCTTAAATATGGCACTGTTCAGATACTGTTCACCGATCTTGTCGCACAGTACTCTAGCAGAGTAGTTCGGTGCCTCCGTGACGGATTAAATGCGATTTGAAGTTTTCCTCATCATTGCCTGTCAGGCATTTAATGCACGCATGGGGGTCATTTAATGCTGGCCAGCTTTATGTCTTGTCTAGTGGGGGTAGACCTGCGGGCTGTGGCACCCTGTCCAATCACCAATGATTACTCTCCAAGTGGCATTATTATACTTATTACCGGGCTCTGCACCTGTCTCTGGGACAACCGCTCTGACGCCTCAGGTCGGCTCCTGAGCTCATTTTGTTCTTCTGACCCTCGTGAGTCTTACTTCAGCCCGCCGCTTATACCAGGTCGGCGCCGGTGCTTGAACGACACAAATGCCGAGCTCGAGAATAGACCCAGGAAGATGTGACGGTTAACTTAGTCCGGGGTTCAGCTCGGCACCCACACACCGAACTGAGTTTCCGGTTCGGCCTTTTGTCCGGTTCTCTTCGGAGGCGAACTCGGATGTCAACAGATAGCACAACAATCCTGAATATTAACAGCCTGAATCCAACAAAATCAGACAGATACTATTGGGGTTTGGACAAGAAGGGACAATTCTCAATCTCTAGTGTGTATAAATACCTGGTCCAGCAGAAGGTGGTGCAAATGGACATTCCAGAATGCAGTTATCAACCAAACAGTAAGGTATGGGCTTCTATATATAAAAGAACATGGTCCTTGCAAGTGATGGGAAAAGTCAAACTCTTCATTTAGAGATGATTGTCAGGAACACTCCCTGTCCTGGCTAATTTGAAGAAAAAAGGACTAGACTTGGACATCACCTGCAGGTACTGTGGAGAGGATGTTGAAACTACTGAACATGTGTTGTTCTCCTGCCCTAGAGCCTGCAGAGTATGGGAGATAGCACCAGTTTCTTGGGATGGCTTGCATCTTCAACATTCATTCAATTAATGGTGGAGGCAGCTATGTCTAATAGGCAAAGAAGATGTAGCAGAACACAGAATCCAGCTCACCACATACTGGCTTTGGAAAACGAGGAATGCGTGGATCTTTCAACAATCACTGGCCCCTGTTCACATTGTCTTGAAGGCTGCAATCTCAGACTGGATGGATTTTCAAACAGCAAAATAAAGTCCTTGGTGTGGCTTTGTGTTAAATTACCTTAGTTTTAATAGACTGACTTTGTGTTAAACTTTGTCGTTGTATTTGAATCAGTTGGGAACATGTCCTCTTGCTAGGCATTGTGCAGTGGTGGAGTACCTGTTCTTTTCTATTTTGTTTTGTTGGTTCCAGAGTAGTTGAATTGGCTTTATAGCCTTGTCCTAAGTCACCATGTTTAGTGGCTTCCCAGTTTCATTTTCGATGCAGTTGATTGTTAGTTCATATGTACTGAACCATTTTATTGAGTTATATATAAAACTTCTATCGTTTTGAAAAAAAAAAGAACAAATAACAAATAAATAATTAGTTATGATTTTCAAAATTAAATATCCTAGCTTGAAAAATCTACCCCACTCGAAAAAGGAAAAACTATAGATTTTTATGTTGAAAACTATTGTCATTCGAAAACCCAAATTCCTAAAAAATTGTTGTGATTATCAGTGCCCAACACTTTGCCGTGTGTCTGTTTTGCATCCCATCACCAATGGCTCACTCCCTCATTTTCCAAATTTAGATAGATAGATTTCAGATCTGTCAATCAAACGCCATTTAGATTAATTATTCGTTGTAGCTCCGTGAAATGCTCCCAGTTTGATTCTCCAGATATTAAGAAACCGCCATTGATAAGGTTATAAGTTCTTATTCTCTCTCAAATCTCAATCCTAGATGCGCGCACTTCAGGATTTCAATTTCGCACACAAATTCTGTGACGCCCCTTTCATTGATAATCTGAGTCGATAGAGCTGCTTTTTTTTTTTCGGTATGGCTCCTTCACTGTTCTGGTTGACTGAGCTTCCTGAATGCGTTGTGCCAAAATGTATTTGAATTGAAGTAATTGATGATTTTATTTTTTACTTTTACTGGGAGGATATTGTGTGTATGCTGTTAGCCGAGATTGGATTGATCTATCTGTACTGTACTTTTTTTATCACACTTAGGAAGAAATGAGAACGTTATCCATTTATTCTTACTTGGACTGAATTCTGGTTCTTAAAATGCAAGTACTTGTTGTTTTGAGTTTGGGATTCCTTTTTTCTCTCAGTGAAAATTTAGATTATGTATATAGTATTCTGCTTCTTTGTGCAGTTATGTTAGTGGTTACATTCATGGGTCACACATACATTACGTTTGGAATGAATGTTCTTGTTTTGAGTGAAATGTGGTAAATTGACATCTTTTATTTAACTCTTTTCTTGTCAGGTCTGACAGATATGGGATCGTCAAGAAAATGGATCAGGGCTTTGCTTGGTTTGAAGAAACCACACAAATCCCATTCTATAGAGAACAGTGAAAATGTTGGTGCTATATTCTAGTTATTGTTCCCCTTTCGCCACCATTACATTTTGTATCTTTTAATTTCATGTTATTTTTTGTTTGTAACTTTCTTGAGTTTGAGCAAGTTAACAAGGTATGAATAAGAGTTGTGGAAGTGAAATTCTTCTGTCCTTGCGCTTTGATAATAGTGGAGATTGTTTCGTGTGGATACAAAAAATTTGTAGCTTTTTTTTTTCTTAGAATTGAATTGATGTTTTCCCTTTGGCATGATTAATGATAAACTTCTTTATTCAATTGGAGTCACCACAGTTTTTCCAAGTGTACCCTATTCTGCTAAGTGCTAACTTTTTGAGCCTGTTATTATATAGGAGTGAGAAAACCATTACTCTGTTAGTTGATATAGTTTGGCGAAGAAGATCTGCATAAGAATGTAAAAAGTTTCCTTGTTTGAGTCGTCGACTATCAACTCAGACCCAACTGTTAGTTTTTGTTTCAATTCAGGATCTTATTTCCCAATTTCTCAACTTGGGGTTCAATTTACTTTTCTTTTTCCACTTTCAAATCAAGTGTTTTATTTTATCTCTTAGTTTGCATCCTTGAATTTGAATTATTTTTTTGATCTTTAACAAAGGCTCACAGTTAGCTCTGATTGTGAAACAAAAGCAGCAATTAGGCGCCCTCTTGAGAAACAAAATCAAAAGTGGTAGTACTCTTATTTGAGAAACAAAATCAAGTGGGTAGTACGGACGTAAAAATCTGAGCCCTGTGAAATGCCATATAGTTTGATTTTTTATTTTATTTTATTTTCATGGTGCGCTCTGTGACCTGCAAATAGTATCGGAAAAACCATATAGTTGGATTCTTGTCCTCTGCCAATACCACACTCTGAGAAATAATTTTCCTATTTGGTCTGTATTTGCAGTTTAAATTCCCATTATTGCATGACTAAGTGGTGAGATTGTGTCCCTGTTGATAATATTACACAATACGTGTTTTAATCCCATCGGTTGTTTATAATTGTCTGTTGTACGTCTCCATTTAAATGTTGCGGACTTGCTCTTAGTATGTAATTTATCTCTAACATTTTCAGAGATCTGGGAGCACTGGAAAGATTTCGCACCGAAGGAAGAACTCTGTTGAGATTGATAGCAGTGTTTTGGAAAATGAGCTGAACCAAAATGTGGTAGCTGATAATGCCAAAGATGCCAATTTCCTTTCAGTTTCAGATTCAACTAGTTCAGGTTCCGTTCCACTTCAGGTGCCAAATGCAGCTCAATTTCAGCAGAACACGAGCGAAGAATGGGCAGCTATACGTATCCAAACTGCTTTCAGAGGATTTTTGGTAATTGACTAATTTATCACCATGATACTGTAATTCAGTGCATAACTTGCAATGTAGTTCCTATTTTCATCTCCATTTATTTCCTTCTTGTGAGTTTTGTTGTTGAAAAATCTCTATTTATATGGTGTCTCTGTTCATTGCTCTCTCTTATATAACACCGATGTATTGTGCTATTTTTTTTATCTAACTTCCTTTTTTTATTTTTTTATTTTTGTGTGTGTGTGTGTGTGTATGTATTAGGCTAGACGAGCTTTACGTGCTTTGAAAGGATTGGTGCGACTACAAGCTCTTGTCAGGGGTCATGCTGTAAGAAAGCAAGCTGCTATTACACTCCGTTGTATGCAAGCTTTGGTAAGAGTTCAGGCTCGTGTCCGAGCTAGGCGCGTTCGTATGGCATTAGAGACTCAAACGCCGGAACAGAAACTTCAGCAACAACTTGAGCACGAGGCTCATGTCAAAGAAATTGAAGTAAAATTTGTACCTTTAAGAACAAAAGCTTTTCTTTAAAAATAATTATTTCATTTATTAGTGTGGATACATTATAATTTTGTAGAGTGTGTATGTTGCAAACGCATCATAAAGGTTGTTTTAGGTACTTTACTGAATTATTGCCGTGTCTTTGGTTGTGAGCTTGGTGTATTAATGTGTCATGGCACGTGTCATAAATGTGCATTAGAATTGCTCTTTTGACGTGAAGAGCATATGAGTGTGTTACCGAACCCAACTTATTTTCTACTGATGCTGTAAACCAGGATGGATGGTGCGACAGTGCCGGGTCAGTTGAAGAAATTCAGGCCAAGTTGTTGAAAAGGAAGGAGGCAGCGGCTAAGCGTGAAAGAGCAATGGCATATGCTTTAGCTAACCAGGTGAAACACTCTTGTAACCTCATTTTTACATAATGTTACCATTCTACATTATTTTTTACGGTAACAAAGTATACATCAAAGGATAATAATCCAGAAATCAACTGGAAATGGTGATAAATCATTAAAGATTCTACTATCAGTTTGTTTATTTTAAAACTATACGATTTGCATGGTGGAGGAATAGGAAGGAAAATAAAAAATAGAAATTAGCAGTAATAAGACATCATCTGATTTAGCTTGCTACTCCCACTTAGCTGGCCCAAAATCCAAGAGGAATTCCGTCACTTATTTTTTCTGGATCTGGTATAAAGCTGAATTCAAGATGTAATTTCGTAAGTAATGAGATTCGCCCACAAAAACCATTAATATTTATTAAACTTATGTTTCTGAATATATTTTATTTCCTTCATTTAAACTCTAGTAAAAGAGTTTCAAAGGTTCCATGCTTAATCTTAGATGTTAATCTCTGACATTCATATCATGGCACAATACCTTTTGAAGACAAGACAGATAAATGGCAGCTTATTCGAAAAGACAAGTTAGTTATTGTTTTTATTTACATTTTATTTAATTCAATCTTGCAATTATAATAATGCAGTGGCAGGCGGGGTCAAGGCAGCACACAACACCTGCTGGGTTTGAACCCGATAAAAGCAGCTGGGGTTGGAACTGGTTAGAAAGGTGGATGGCTGTTCGGCCCTGGGAAAATCGCTTTGTAGACACCAACCTTAATGATGGTGTGAAAATTCATGAGAATCAACTGGCTGATGTGAAGAATGCACCGGCAACTATGTCCAATTCAACAGGAAAGAGACCCACGTCAAATATTGTAAATGGGAAAGCTTCTCGTTCGTGCAATAACTCTAATGTCTCAAATGAGAAAAAGGCTGCATCCCATTCGGATGGCTGTTCTTCACCACCCAACAAGTCGGCCAATGTGCAAGAGACACCTGGGACATTGTCTAAAACAGTTCTTGAAGACTTTGCTGAGGAAGCCACCTCAAAGCTTAAAGTTGTCTCGAGATCACATAGTAATCCTAAAGAGAGGTCGGCCATAATGAATAAACCAGGAAAGAAGCGATTGTCTCTATCAGGCAGTGGTCAGTCTCTTTTCTCCATTTCCTTTTCACCCCCCATTCCAACTGACACTGTTGTAGGCTTGGTAGAATATTTTAAGGCTAACATAAAATTATCCTTGAAGTTTGCCCAGAAATATGATAAACCAAATTAATTTAAAAAAATAGAGAGATCCTCTTAATGGAATGTGGACTCCCTGCTGATGTTGCAATTTATGAGAAAGAAATAACTATGAAGGAATAACTTTTGTTTTTCTGAAGACACCGTATTTCTTTTATTTTGAGAACAAAGAAAATAACTTTTCATAATAAACATCGTATTTATCACAAAGAGATGATGCTCACATTTGTAGCTACCTCAATTGTGTTTTATGCATGAGATCTGATTCTTTAAACCCACGTTTTTTGTTTTTAACTTCTAAATCCGTAGCTCAACTGTATGCTTAAGTCGTAATTAATGATACGCACATGACACAATATCTCAAAGTGAATCTGTTTAGTGGGACTACATTATGGCGCAAACATATCATAATCATACTATATCTCTACAATCTGATTTGGCCAGGACAAAGTCATGGGGCTCAACCAGCCAGGCCAAAGCCTACCGTCAAAAGATCACCCACTGCTCTGAAACCAGAGAAAGACAAAGCACAAACGAACGGGTCTAATGCAAAGCCTTCAAAAAGTAGCCCGAGAACTGTTCTTTAGCTTCTCAACAACGGCGTTTTAAGTTCTCTCTTGTTATATTCCAAAAACCGGCTACTTTTAGTTTGTATATAAAAGGCAGAAGCACGTGCTCTTGAGCACATGCTATGGCCATCCGTTTGCGAGTTTCTCATGATTTCCGATAAAAGGTGTCTCGAGCTTTTTGGTGGTGAGCATTGAGCATTCTATTGTAGTTAATTTATTTGTATAATCAAAAGTGGCTTTTAGGTTTTGAGTGGCCCTGCATGTATTATAGAACTCCAGATTATGTTTATGTTTTAATGCATGATGGTTGTTGTTGTCTTGTTCAATAAGCTGTGTGGTAGCCGAGTAGAGTATTGCCTGTCTTGAAGTTATATGTGTCGTGCAAGCTGTCGATGAATATCGTTACCTATAGTTGGATTCTCTTTTAGTAAGACTAGTAAAGTACACGTGCGATGCACATTGTGGTGAATGTATCGCACGTGGTGGTTAATGTTATTTTGGCCGAGTAAGTTTATTTATATAAATTAACTAGTACTCTGCCCATATACTACACGGGTACTTAAATATAATAATATTTGTATAATAAAAAAATAAAATTATTTATATTTTTATTGTAAAAATATGTATAATGAATATAAATAATAATAAATAACTAACTAAGTGATATTTGATTAAAAACGGTGTCAATATTTTTACACTAAATTTATCAAAATGATGTTTTTTAATTATATTTTTAAAATTTTATATGTCTAAATCAAATTTTATTTACAATTCCATATATTTAATCCGATTTAAAAAAAAAAAAATTATTGTATTGTGATTGTATTTTATATTTATGGAGTCGGTGTCTCCCGTTTAAATTTTAAAGTATGTTAAATTCATATAATTTAATAATTTAGAATATTATTTTACGTAAAAATGTATTTTTGTTTTTCCAAATTTATGATATATAAAAATATTTTATAATATTTAATTATATCATTTATTTTTATTATTTTTAACCAATATAATAACATTCAGTTTCTTATATAATCTATTTAAATCGAGAAATAATATTTTTTAAAATTTTTTAAATTTCATTTCATGTAGTACTTAATTTTTATATGATGGGTCTACTCTCAGATCTAGAGTGAACCAGTGGTAATGAGCTCAGATCTGTTTAAATCGCCTTCGAACCGTTGCTAGACCACGAGAACACCTGCAAGAACTCAACGCCGGAGGTGTTTCCGGCGTAGAGCCTCCGACGCTCAAGTCAGTATGTGAAAGAGATGAAGAGAGGCTGCTATGAGAGAGCAGCAGCAGTTATAGAGGAGAGATGGAGTGAATGAAAGTTAGGGTTTAGGGTTATCTCATCTCCTTTATATGGGAGGGAACACTTACTTGAAGTACCCGAAATGCCCCAGTCGGTGGACCTGAAAGGTCTAAATTGCCCCGGTCGATTCGTCTCCCCTCCTTGCTGAGTCATATCAAGATTTCTTCTTATCCATTGGAGGACAAGAGGTTCCAAGAAATGTATCAAGTGTGTAGAATCGTTGGTGTGCCTCACGTCTCGAGGTACAAGGAGTCGACATCGAGTATGAATGAGTCGACCCAGGATCTTCTGGTTATTCAGAGATTACGCTCTTATTGGTCTTCTCAAATAGATGTCGACTTTCGGGAAGTCGACTGAACAATGTCGACTTCTGGGAGTCGACTTGTATGGAATCTGCCATTTCTCAGCATCAATCTTGTTAAGAGTCGACTTGGAGGAAGTCGACTTGAGCATGTCGACAGGTGTATGTCGACATGTGAACGGTTTGAGCCACTGTCCGGTCGAGTAGAGAACCTTTGGGCCGGTATATCTTTATATGGCTATATCACTATATTTAATCAATTTTTGAAAAAAAAAAAAACACATTAAAGTGATTATTTTATGGTATATTGATGAATTAGATTTTTATTACTTGTATAAAATAATTGATAATTTTATTTGATATTTTTAAATTGATTTGATGATAAAATTCATCTTATTTATAAAATAGATGAAATTATTTTTGTTTTATATATGCAATATAGATATCAATCGAAGATCGTTAAAATATGATTATTTTGATATATCATACATAAGAAAATAATTTATAAATGAAAATGTTATTTAGTTTTAATCATAAAAAGAATACATATTTATAATAATTAATATATGAATTAAATAAAATATATGGTAACTTATAATATATGCTAAAAAAATTTATGAATTAAATAAGAAAAGGTAAGAGTAGTATATGGCAATTTAAGAAAAAAGAAAAGGTAAAATAACTTATGGTAATTACTAAGCCTAATAGTCAAAATCAAACTTGTACATTTGCCAATACGAAATAAAAATTTATGTCAAATAAGTTTATGAAGCACACGAGCATGTCACTTAGGCTCAGGGCATTCGAAAATTATATATATGAGCGATTAATTCATTAAACATATAATTTCATTAACAAAATAAAATATAGAACAAATGAGCTCCAAACGTATTTTTTTTTCAAAAATAAATAAGTCCTAATAAATAAAGAATGAAATAACATATTACAATCTGAATATATATATATATATATATATATATATATATTCATGAAAAATGAATCCCTAATGAAAAATAAAAACTAAATAACTAAATAAAGACCTAATGTATATTATATGTGCAATAGGACTTTTACTTATTCATCTTGATGATTCAAGAGTGATTTTCTTTCGTTTTGGTTTTGACGTTCTCATAAGAAACATTCATACCCGTTGGAGCATAATACATCAATAGTATTGCAAAATGCTACTTAATTTATTTGGCAAAATATCTACTTTATTCAAACACTTAAAAACATTATGGTCAAACATATGCTAAAATTTTATGATTGTATGATCTTTATAAGATATGTCTACTAACAGTTCCTGAATATTGTTGTGAAATAACCAACCGCGTCATTAAAATTGATGATATAAATTTTTTGATCAATGTATAAACTACCACACATTTCTCTTCAAATAGATAAATTGGTACCTACCCCATGGAGGCATCACCCCATGGAGTGAGAACGAATTTCATCTCCAAATAAAAGTCGTTTTTCTAAATCTTGGTTACATGTACTTCTTCTCATGCGCTAAATTATTTTTTGAAATCATCACATATCACATGAAAGTATGTACTCTAAAGTAATTGCACATATGTTCCAACACATACACCAGTGAGATTGTAAATATTCTTATTAAAAACTAACAACTTCATTTAAACATTCAAAAATGTTTTGATCAGACTATGTCTTTTCAACATATTTCTTTGGAAGATGGTCTACATAGTAAATTGTTTGCAAATCATTGACCATTGTGGTTGTTGCAATGATTTTAGAATTGTTTAATTACAATATCTTTCACATTCCTTCGGATTGCAATATTTATGTGTCTAATAACTTCTTTAATGCTTTTATTGTCCAACTTTTTGCATAATACGTAATACTTTAAACATTCAAGATAAAGATCCTTTCTTAATTATTCCACAGTGACAAAAAGATAAAAAAAAACAAAAAAAAAAACAAAATAATAAGACAATATTTAGAAGCATATAATTTGTCAAAATATTTGAGAAAGGAATTAGAATTCTATTATATTATGATACTCTTAGTCATCTATGAACTTTACTATTACGAAGTCATTATTAAAATCCACATTATGTTTACATATTTTATAAATTTTTAATTATTTAAAATTCAAAATTGATAATATAGATCGTTATTTATGAAAACTAATTTCTTACAGAGTCCATATAGATAAACACTAGCAACAAAACAGTAGTGATTTTAAAAGACTTTTGTTTCTAGATATTTGTATTCAAACTTTTCTAAGAAAATTTATACCTTTTCTTTTCCCCATTGTATTTTTATTGTTTTTATATGTTTTTTTATTCTATTCACAAATAATATTTTTATATATTAAAAAAATACAGCATATTTATATGTATTTCAACATTTTTTGTACGTATTTTATGTAATTACATTGTTATTAATATATCTTATTTTTTAGGCTACAACTAATATAATAACATAAGATAGAATGTTATTAATATATTTATTTATTTGTAATAATAATATATTTCATAAAAATGTGCTTTTATACTATTTATAGTATTAAAAAATTTAGAATTTTTTTTCAGTGTTTGATAAAATATTGAGTAACTAACTCATTTTCATATTCACAAAAAACCAATGTACTAAAAATCGGCTTAGGCGGCCGCCTAGGTGCTACGCACCACCCGACCGTCTCCAATTTGCATGAATAGGCTAAAAAAATTGGTCAGGCGGCTAGGCGAGACCTAGGCAGGCCTAGGCGCTCCTACGCGGGCTCAATGGACAGGTGGCGTCTAGGCAGGCCTAGGTGCTCCTAGGCAGACTCGATGACAAATTTTCAGTTTTTTTATTATTTTTTTAAATACTAATTACATTATTTTGTTATTATTTTTTTTATAATATATTAATATTATTATTTAGATTCAGGTGTGTGGTTTTATTCTAAGTTAAGGTAGTTTTATTTTGTAGGTAACAAAAATAAATAAAAAATTATGTTCTTTAATCTTAATATCTAGACGTCTAGGCAAGTTAGATCAGGTGATGAAGACCGTGTATCCCGGTAACTAGTTTTGCTTTGAAAGTTGTTTGCACGGCTTCCTTCTCGACGATAGGTTGTGGACGACTCGGATTACTCCTTATCTTCTCACATTGTTGAGACAAGTTAGAAGTGATAGCCTTGCAAAACTTGAGCTTGTGACGAACTATGCGGTGAAACCCCTTTTCGGCACAAGGTTTTTATGATAAAACTCGACAAGAATTCTAACATGAGATTGGTGAACAAACATTCGATTTTTTATTAACTTCAAAACATATAAAATTGAGATGAATACATAGGCTATTTATTAGAGATAAATACAAATATACAATACTAATCATATAAGGAATCAAATTCTAATCTTAAGGAAATAATATATCTAGAATTATAAGAATTACCAAATAACTAGAAATAGAAAAATATTAAATAAAATAATCTATATAAATCATCTAGAATCAACCCAAATCTTCTAGATTCTCGTCCAACCTTGCTCGGCAAGTCAGCTCACGTCACTCTGACCATTCGTGCGTCCCAAGCCTTGC